AGTGGATGAGAACATCCTGCCCAAAACTTAGTTAGGCAGATAAGCCAGGCGACGAACTCGTAATAAATGGACAAGCTCTTAGATTTTGTTATGGCCAAACAATTTTAACCCTTCTCCCCCTTTCGTATAAAAAGGTTGGTGTGCTCTGACCCTTTTCGTCGTTAAGGCCGTAAAGCTCAAGGTGCGGGTGAACAAATTATGATCACGCTGGTGAGCAAAGACGTCGTAGTCATCGAGGCATAGGTTTCTCGCAGTCTAACTAGTTTTACTCAGAGTTTGTTTCTGTATCCCTAGCTTCTAGGTTTCAACATGAGAGGGGGTCGGGCACGGAGAATGTTCGCCAGGTGGATAAACTCTTAAACGCGTACCGACTCTTTCCGTGGCTAAGGCCAAAAAGCCTGGGGTACGGAAAAAAAACTCTGATCACGCTGGTGAGCAAAGGCGCCGTAGCCACCGAGGCATAGGCTTCTCGCAGTCCGACCAGTTTTACTCAGCGTTTGTTTCCTCAAACTTCGCTTCCGGGTCTTAATCATGAGAAAGGATCGGACATAGAGACTGTCTACCGAATAGATATGCCCTTATTAGCCCTCGAGTGAGGCCCGACCCTTTGCCGTTGCTAGGTCGAGCGTCACCTAAAGATCCGGGAGTTGATAACGAAACTGATAAGAGAAAGTGTGCGTATATTAAGGGTAAAAGTGACATAGCTGCTCGATGTCCCAGGCATTGACGAAAACTTCACCGTCGATGGCCTTGAGCTTGTAGGCGCCTGGTCTGAGCACCCCCACGACAATGTACGGTCCCTCCCATGACAAAGAGAACTTGTGGTGGTTCTTGTTGCTCTGGACAAAGCGGAGCACTTGGTCCCCGACGTTGAAGACCCGACCCCTCACCCAATGGCTGTGGTACCGACGCAACGCTTGCTGGTACTTGGCCGAGCGGAGGAGGGCGATGTTGCGTGCTTCATCTAGCTGGGCTCCTTCCTGTGCTCCCCCTTATTGAAGCCCCCGGACAAGAACCACTTTAAGAGGCTGCAGTCCTTATATTGGTGCTCGACAGGGAAAGCATGGTTCGGGCATGGCCCTTCGAGCAGCCTCTCGAAGTGGTTCGGGGTACCCTCGGTGGTCCTTCGGCCTCCCTTATGGTCGGTAGTGGCCACGAGCGAGCCCTTGCGCTGCTGTTTGTTCCTCTTCTTGTTGGGATGGTTGGAGGTGCCTTCATCGGCGTCCTTGTCCCACTTCGCCTTGCCCTTGAGGATGCGTCGACCAAAGGTCTAAGGTCCCGGCAAGTCAGGGCTCGGGCTTTGGTCCTCGCCGCTGTTGTAGCGTCCGCCGTGACGTGGGTGGTAGCCATGGCTAGCCCCCTCCCTCGCATCACCGCAGGTACGCCTACGGGCGTCGAGGGTGTCGCGTGCATCGTGGTGGAGGCCGAGACACTCATGCATCGGAACCGCGGCGCGTGGCCTGCTGCCTTGCTGTGCCTGGTGGACCGACATGTCCTTGTTGGGTTGTTATGAGGGCGCGTTACGCCTGCGGACGTCGAGGGTATCATGTGCGTCACGGTGGGGAACGAGATGCTCATGCACCGGAACTGCGGTGCGCGGCCTACACGAGAGCACTGTCGGGGTGCTCCGGACAAGGTATTCCAAAGAGAGCGGCTCTCCTCTGGCAAGCTACATCATGACATTGGCGAACAAAAAGGTGAGGTGGCGCAGGTCCTCCTAGGACGGTCGGGGTCCTAGAAAGGCGCTGAGCTAGCGCTGTAACCTCCCGTAGTCAAAGCCGGGGCTCTAGTCGCTCCCGGGGGCGCAGGCCTCTGGTGTGTGCGGCTGCAGCTCCTCTAGCGCCTCGGTGATTGCGTCGAGGCTAGCGGAGTGGAGAGGTTGGACGGCGACGGGAGCCCGCACCAGCTCTCCCTCCATCGTGATGATGAAGCCTAGATCCCCGAGGCACACGTGCGTGCCCAGGGCCTGGCTGTCGTTGCGATTAGCCATCCGAGGCCTGGTGTGGATGTCGAGACGCGCAAAAGGTCCCTACCTGGCGCGCCAACTGTCGACATTTTGAGTTGCCACCAACAAGTAAATTTCTAATATTGCGCGTCTGGCCCGAATGGTGTGCTAAGAGGACACTAGGTTTATACTGGTTCGGACAGAATGTCCCTACGTCTAGTTCGTTGCTGCTGCTCGTGTTACTAGCACTGAAAGTTCGTAGTAGGGGTTATAAATGGTCGAGAGAGGGACATGTCCCAAGTCTCTGGAGAGATGAGTGAACAGGCACCGAGGGCTCGGTCGCTTCTCTGCTATGTGCTTGTGTGTTCTAATCGGTTCGGGGTTTGAGTCCGAATTGGTGTGTTCTGTTGTGATGCGATCGATTCTCCCCTTCATAGGACACCCTACTTTCCCTTTTATAGGCCAAGGGAAAGCATGGGTTACAGTCGAGGAAAAAGGGGAGAACGAGAAGGAGAAGAAGTGCTCTAGGATCGCTGGGTCCTTCTTTTCCTTCACGCGGGTCCCGTCGACCCTATAGACGTCAACAGGGACAGCTCCATGTCGCAGCCCTATCCGTCACTGGCGCCATGCGCAGGCATCGTCTCCCGATCGTGGCGTTCCACTCTGTCCTGGCGAACGTCGTGGTGAACTGACGCGCCTGTCAGTGCCCGTACGGGGGTTAGGCAGAACAACACCGGTACGCCCGACGCTGTTCCTGATGTGAATCCCCAGGTATGGCCCGTTATGGCCACGGGTTATATCGGGGCGTGCCTATCACCTCCTTGGTGTCAGAGCTTTGACCAGGCCCATTCGCTTGGACCTAGAGTGGTTGGTGGTGGTATGGGTCTTCGTCGGGCGAGGCGGAGCCCGCGGCCTCAGGGTTGGGCGAGGCGGAGTCCTCCCCCAGAGGCCAGGCGAGGTGGAGCCCACGACCTCGGGGTCGGGCGAGGCGGAGTCCTCCCCTAGAGGCCGGGTGAGGCGGAGCGTAGAACCAAGGGTCGGGTGAGGCAGAGCCCATGGCCTCGGGGTCGAGCGAGGCGGAGCCCGCAGCCCGAGGTCAGGCAAGACGGAGTCCTCCCCCAGAGGCCGGGTGAGGCAGAGCGCAGACCCAAGGGTTGGGCGAGGCGGAGCGCGGACCCAAGGGTCGGGCGAGGTGGAGCCCACGGCCTCGGGGTCAGGCAAGGCGGAGTCCTCCCACAGAGGCCGGGCGAGAAAGAGCGCAGACCTAAGGGTCGGGCGAGGCGGAGCGCAGATCCAAGGGTCGGGCGAGGCGGAGTCTTCCCCCAGAGGCCAGGCGAGGCGGAGCGCAGACCCAAGGGTTGGGCGAGGCGGGGTGCAGACCCAAGGGTCGGGCGAGGCGGAGCCCTCCCCCAGAGGCCGGGCGAGGCAGATCGTAGACCCAAGAGTCGGACGAGGCGAAGCGCAGACCCAAGGGTCGGGCGAGGCGGAGTCCTCCCCTAGAGGCCGGGCGAGGCGAGACCAACTCTTAGAGGTCGGGCGAGGCGGAGCTTGCGTACCTGGGTCGGTTGGAGCTGTAGTCGCGCTCTTGACTGCTCGGACATATCAATGTTGATGGTTATTAAATTCTCCTCTTCGAGTACCCTAGTATTGGTCCCCGACACAACTGTGGCTCAGGGGCACCGGATGTGCAAAACAAAATTTTCTCTCCTCAATTAGCTGCAACCGGTCCGCGGTGTCCTGTGGCCTAATTTCACCGAACCAGAGTGTCTTCTGGCAAACTACTCAAAACGGGGTATCCGCCAGCAAACGACCATCACTTTAGATGTCTGCCAAACAATTTTCCCTATTAAATATAAGTAGTATAATTTCACCGCGATTCCCGCAGCAACGCGCGGGGCGTTCTTCTAGTTAGGATAGTAGTAGTGTTAATTAACATATTTTATTTTTAATCAGTTATTTTCATCACAAAATTAGTGTTATTCCATGTTTATTAGTGTATAATTAGATGTTATTATTTTTAAATAATATAATTAGTCAACTATTATCATCCCATCCACTCTCATCCATCTATTGTCTATGTCACTTGACAAGTATGGAAACTATCTCACAGTTTTTTTGGATTGAGACCACCCCTCAGTCACAAAATAAGTGATAGTCAACCACTCCAAATATTGACCACTACATTTTATTATAAAAATTCTATAAAACATAGCAAATATATATATATATATATATATATATATATATATATATATATATATATATATATATACTTTGAAACATTCAAACTCAACACATAAAAACTATTTTTCTGTCAATTCTTTTTGAAAGAATGATTTATGATGACACCAAATCATCACATATTTTGTGACTGATTGACTTAACACCAAAAACAAATAAATACTAATTGATTTAACACCAAAACATCACATTTGCGACCAAGAAGTACCAGGGATCAAAGTTATTGTAATTTTGCAAAAAAGACTACACGAAGTTGTAGTTCCTTTATTATGATGTCATGAATAGTTGTAGTTTTGTGAAATTAATTCCACATAATATAGCTAACAGGATGGCAAGAACAGACCATTCCAGAACAGAAGCGATCCCTTCACATCAGATGCACAAGCAAGAAAAGATTAAAACAAACCTCCTCATAATCAATATTACCAGGGTCGCAAAAATAAATAAATATGCAAGACCTTCCCAGTTGCAACATGGAGAGCAAACTTGCAATCCTGGGTGCCAATTGAACCTCCTATGCGCAGCGGCCAAACTTCCAGTTACTTCTTTCTCCCGTAAAAGGGCTAGTATTTTCATGCTCAAAAAGGTGCTTCTCATCAACTTTTTACAAAGTCATTAGTTTGAGTTCATACATTAACTATCCTCATACTGGCAACACTTACAATAATCAAATCCCGTATGAAGATCACTTCCTTTTCCTTTAAGCCAAGGTACAGATTTGCCCGTCCAATTTGCATTTCTCACCTGAGTTCCGCAGTTTCCGTTGCAGCAAAGACTCGTCTCGACTGTTCACTCACAGATATCAAACTCCCAGTCATGTCTCAAAGATGCCCTTCACATATATCATCCCCTTCTCGCTGAACTTGAGCTCCTTCCTCATCTGCTCAACTTGGACGTCATCACCCTGCACAAGGATCTCGGATACGTTCCCATCATCAGATAGGATCATCTTGACCTTGATCTCTTCCTTCCTTGACGCTTTTGTCCAGTAGTACACTCCCCTGGACCTCATGAAAGGTCAGTTACTACATTTGTACTGGAAGATTCATTCTGAATTGCTGGGAGTTGAGTAGCAGAGACATACGCCAAGGGGCTTAGGGTCATAAGCCAGAACCAGTTGTTGCCACCTTCTGGGACAGCGATTGATAGAACGAGCCCAACACTCCCAAGGCTAATGCAGGTGCAGAAGGTTAGCAGCGCCGCCTGGCCTCTGCTTGGTATCATTGTGCCCTCAAATCTGGTTCAGAAGCACAATATATCTCAGTTCAGGTTACAAGGTATTCCCATGTAGGAGAAAATTCATGAGCTTGTGCTGGATTACATTACAGAAACACTGTGAACTGCAGTTTCACACTATGGAACACACTGGTGATGGGGCAAGCTGCTAAGCGGCTAAACTACTACTGTACTACTCATTTGCATACTCCTATTACGATGAAAACAAATTTGGGTGTTTGAAACACCAAGTTACTGTGTCCAACACTAAGATGGAGATTGATGCGAACTTAGAGTTAGCTTGGCAGTAGAATCAAGAAGCACACAACATAGCTAAAGCTAAGCTAAGTAGAGTTTTGTTTCAAAAAGAGAAAAGCATAGCCAAACTACATATTGATGCAGCAGGACACAAGCCAGCACGCAACTTACGTGATGACCTCCCCACGGTCTGAGACGGTGAAATTGTTGCGGGTGAAGAACGACAGGATCTCTCCAGCCACCTGCTTTGGCGCCATCGACTGCCCTTCTTCTTTGATAAATGTCTTTTGCACAATCTGCATCCACCAATTTGGCATACATGACAAACAGTGCTGCTGAATTTTGGTCCAGAACCAAAAAAAAAAAAAAAAGGTTCAAGATACCCACATAAACCTCTGAACTAGCAGGTATAGTTTACTCACTATGAAACTGTTTGTGATAAAACAACTTTGCCAATTGCCTTCAAGAGGAGAAATTTTAATTATGCAATGCAGTGCGGTCCCTATCGGACGTGGTGGTGGCATCTTGGACCATGCAAATCAAATAAGAAAAGAAGAAGGTATATCATCTTTTGCCGACACCACAAGTCCACTCCACTACCACTACCCACATCACAGAGCACTAGCATCACATCTCGAAAAGAAGGAAGAACGAAACCAGCATCAAAGCTAATCACAGAAGCTCAAACCCGTGAGTAAGCTCGCCGAGACACAAGATAAGCTCATCCAGGAGCCAGAATTACCCAATTCAGCAGGCACGGCGCACGGGTGCATCTACTCGGCATTACTGTACGCTGAGAAGCAAGTGTGGCACGAACACAGCGCACCCAGGCGTGCGTGCGTGCGGTGCGCGCCCTGCTCACAGGGCACTAGTGCGCGCGCGCGCTACGGCGACACACGCGTGCTAGCTCGGAGCAGCGACGAGCGCGCGTGCGGGGGGCGAACAAAGATGGAGGGGCAAGCAACGGAAAACAAGGATGGAACGGAAGAGGGGAGAGGGGCACAGGGATGGATCCGGGACCTTGGACTTGACGGAGCGCTTGATGAGGGACCACAGCCCCGGCACGGAGAGAACGAAGAGCCCCAGCGACGTGTAATAGCTCGCCTGCGAGTAACCTGTCCCGCCGGCGGCCACCGCGGCCGCGGCGTCGAGCAGGACCGCGGCGCTGTCCAGCGACGCGCGCGCCGGGGCGACACGGACTCGCCTCCTCGGCCAGTATCGCCGCCGGGGGTGCGCGGAGACCGCCGCGCCCCGCGGCGGCGCCGGCGGCAGGGCGCGGAGCGGGAGGAGGAGGCGCCTCGCAGCCGCGGCGTTGGTGGCGTCCATTTTGTGCTGGGGATAAGGGCCGCGGCCCGCGGGGGTGGGAAAGCGGGGAGGGCTGTGCGGGGCCCGTGTGTAAGTGAGCTTTTGTCCTCGGGCTCTTGAGGAGGGGACTGAAGGACGTAGAAGAATAATTGCCTGCAATATTTTTTAACAACATCGCACGGACCCTCTTCTCTGCACCACTACGCCAAAGAGCGAGAGGTGAACGACCAGTTTTAGATAGAGCTGGCATGTGGCTAGCTAGCTAAGTCAGAGCAGCTCAAATTTGGCTTCAGCAATGCAAGAGGCCTGTGTTTGTTTGTCTGTATTAGTGAAGCTTGGCTTCTGTATATGTGTTGGTTCACTGGTTGACTTAGATGGGATCACCTCTTTCTCGTGAAGGTGTACATTTTGCTCACTCCTTTGTGTTCTTCACCCCCTTCATGTTCTTCATGCTACACGGCCTATGGAGACCAACGGTCCCGCGAGGCGAGGGTATGGAGGCGTGAGCGCAGGGCAAGGGGATATGGAGGCGACCTTGCCGGGGCAAAGGCAACATGGAGGGTGGCGGGCGGCGGTTGGAAGCGAGCGGGCTGAGGGCATGGAGGCGTGAGTGCAAGCTGGGGTGGAGGCGACTTCGCCGGGTCGGAAGGAGAGGTGGAGGGCGGTGACCGGCGGTTGGAAGCGAGGTGGATGACGAATCTATGGCGTGACTAGCGGGGTGAAGTCTGATGGTGTGCGGGGGCCATGGGCATGGAGGTGTGAGCGTGGGCTGGGCCTGCAGACAAAGGCGGGAGCACGACGAGGTGCAGGGTGGAGCCCAGGGCGGTGTCCAACATTGCACAGGCGAGGTGCAGGGTGCAGCCTGGGGCATACGAGGCGGCGTCGCTCCGCCATGCGACCCACACGCTCCTCGGCAGGACTGGTAGGCAGGCCACCATCGCATCCATCGCCGGCGAGGTGACTTGACTCCACTACCTGTCGGCTTAGCCAACCCTGGCTCTGGGAAAACAATCTATCATAGTGTTTCCGCAAAGTCTGGCTAAACGGTCTATCCTTGTGTTTCCGTGGGGCTTGGCTAAGGGGCTAAACGGTCCATCCTTGTGTTTTCGCGGGCTTGACTAAGGGGCCGTTGTCGCATTAGCTAAGCCTGGCCTCAAGGTCCGATCAGGCAAACAAACAAGACTAGGCTGCATCCAACAAGCCTGGTTGGAGTCTAAGCCAACCAACCAAACAGACAACTTGTACAATGATGGGTGGGTGGTGTGTGTGTGATAGAAAACTCATCTGCACTGTCCAATGCTAACTCGAAAGCTTCAGTGCTTTCCTATTTCTATTAATAAACGCTACACGAATCTCACAACTCCCATACTTTCATCATATACACTCGCACAGTATTACGATTTGACACCACAAAACTTATGACAAAGGCACATTAGATTAACTGTTATAATAAGTAGATAAATAGTGCTATTGAGCCATCTATCCGGCAGGTGTGCAGAGTTTAGTCTCTTTTAACAAGTCAACAAAACGTCAAAACATTACATTCGTGCACATAGGGGCTTTATTCATGTTCCTCCACCGTTTATCTGTATGTGCACTTGCTGCACGGCTCGATAATCTTCAGGTTCACAGATGGGGGCACTCTCTCCTCAATGTATCTCTCAATGGCAACACGAGCCTTTCCAGCCTCTACAAGTGCCTCCTCATTGAGTGGCCAGCACCTATCAATGTTGGCAAACCTCTTGTCATGGCCACGGGTAGTGTCTAACGTAAGGCAGTCTAGTGACCTTGCTTTCTGCATAATGTGGATGGTGAGCTCGACCATGCTCTTTGCGGAGCAAAACCCTGTTATCATCACATTCTTGAGGTTGTCATGGTAGCATTCTGAGAGGCATTGTAGTTGCGAGGAATCACCATCAGGATCTTCGAGAATCGAATCGTGCCTAATGGTTGGCAGCCAAATCTGCACAGGAATAATAAAGTCAGTGTCTCTTCCATGATAACTAGAAGGTTCAGTTAGACTGGATACACCGATCTTCGCCACAAACATGTAATTCACTTGTAACAACCGTGGCTAAGGAAATATCCAGCAACAAGTAAAATCCAGTTCCCAATCAGCAAGTAGTACATGGTTTCCACTTTTTCAAATGCCTTGTGCTAGAAAGCTGAACCCGACCAGGCAATCAAGAATTTGCCAAAGGAAATCAGGAAAGGACTCAACACACTCATCGTTATAGTAGCATGGGAAATCTGGAAGCACTGGAATGAATGTGATTTTAATAAGACAATGCCAAATGTCTAGACAATCTTACATGCAGTTGCAGATGAGTGTGTCCTCTGGTTCTCGGCGGAAGAGAAAGATCTCCAGGAGCTTAATGTGGTTATGTGATTTTTAGTTCTGGAGTTTCTGGTCTCCTGTTCCGTTTTTTTTCCCTCTCTTGATTGAGACTGTCTTTCTTTAAGTTTTTCCTTTTGTGTGTTTGGGTGTATTTCTGTAAGCATGTGTCTGGGTGTGTCTTTGGGTGGGCGAGAGTTTTCTCTCCACTCTTGTGTTTCTCTCCTCTCTTATTAATGAAATCATATGTAGATCTTCTGTACATTTGAGAAATAGAAAAATCTGAACCATCAGGTTTCTCAATCTGAGCCAGCTAAGTTCAGAAAACAGGAACAAGGCCGGTTCACATCTTGCCAATTGTTTAGTTAGGTGAAGGATATTGTTGTTGTTATCATATAAATACATTTTAAAAGTATATATTACCACGGATAATTGCTAATTCGGTTTTCATCATGGGCAGCTTTTCAGAGGTAAATGAAGACTTACACGTATGATCAACGTCTCCAAGGTGGGAGATGCATCAAGAAAAGATAACAGGGAGCTAAAGTCATAGTCCGGAGAAAAATTTAGCACACAATGTAATCTCCAAGTACTTCAGCTGGAGGAATTTGCCTAACGTCATTGGTGTATTGATAGTCTGAAGACAGAGATGCCCAAAGGTTAGTCATGAGCAAAATATGATTTATTGAGTACTGCAAACATACAACTATTCTATGGCACTTTGCTTTCATAAAAATGGATTAATTAGCAAGCATAAAACTGACCTCATCACTGGTTGACAGAAATAGAGTTTGGAGATTTGGCGCAATGAATGGAAGTTTGGTAATAGCATAAGAAAGTGCGTTTGATGAATAGTGACAGGAAAATCTTATTTCCTTCACTTGAAATGCATGTCCAAGTGAGATATGTATTTGGCGTCCTGTACAGGAGAAAGTTGAGAGATTTGGGGCATTGCTGTCAATCATCTCCAGCATTTGGCAGTCCAGCACGCTCAGGATATTAAGCTTTTGCAGCTGACAAGGTATCTTCAAGCAAATTATAGTATTGCAGTTTGAAAGGGAAATTTTCTCCAAAGCACAAGAATTGGACAGAAAATGTAATAGTTGCTCGCCACTGATGTCGACTGAATACAAAACTAAATTTGTCAGGCTACTCATGCAACCAACTTGTGCCGTGGAGTGAATAGAACACCCAGAAAGCATCAAAGACTGAATGGAGCTTCCCCTCTCACTAGATAAAAGAGAACATGGAAAACTGTACTTGATGTCACCGATTTCAAACAATGATAGTTCAAACTCTTTAATCCCAGGTGCCATGGCAACTTGAATCCAGTGATCAAGATAACTGGGATCTATAGTGGAACAAGGGTAGCTTTGTAGTCTAAATTCCTTCACTCCCATGCCAGAGTGATTCTGCATAATGTGCTCAACTCTAGTGATAAAATCCATTGTTAATTCATCATACCGAGATCCATATTCATTTATGCATAGTGAATCAACAGAAATGATGAGATTGGGATAGCATCTCCAAGAACGCAGAAAAGCATGAGACACACAGGCAGCCTGAGCAGCATCTCGCATCGGCATAAGGGCGTGTATCCGATGAAGAATGTCCTGCACAAGGATGAGATAAATAATAAACACCGCAAAATAGATGTAGTAATAATGTTTTCTTTGTTGAAGTGGAAAGCACGTGGAAATTCCTATCCAAATATGTAGTCATATTTACTTTTCTTGTTAACATTTATACTGTTTTTTTAACTGCCCATAACCTCAGGCATCCCCATCTTTTAATGATGAAATCATACCCCATAACCCACTTGAGGAGGGTCACAATCACACCTTGGATACAAAGACCCTTCAACTCGCAAAGGAACTCCAGACTTGATGGCGTTCGCTGGATATCAGATGGAATGATGGACCAACAAATTCCTATAATCCAAATTTTACCTAGCGCTAGCAGTGAACAGTGACATTTTTGTTTCCCACACTTGAAATTACATAGACTATCACTATAACGATCCCATCCCATACCTCTGGAAGCTGGACTTGCGATCCAACTGTTTCGCCGCAGTGAGAATCAGGCTTTATTTCAGCAGCCGAACAGGACGACCCCTCACCTGGAAATCAGATTGGTCATAAACTCGTGATACAGAAGGGGAACTGGCATGAAGTGGCAGCTGGCCAGCTGCACAAGCCACGTAGGTTCGATAATCAAACTATTGCTTAACAATAAACTGTAAGGAACTACTCCCTCCATCCCAAATTGTAAGCTTGCCATCTAGACATACACATCCAGATGTATGGGAAAAATTATGTATATATTTAGAACGGGGGTAGTAGGATTTAAGGGTTTGATAACCACAACGGTCACAGGGGAGGAAATACAGATCTATGCACATAATTTCAGCGATCTTCGTCGTACAAACCAAGAAACTGGGACGAACAGGAGGCATACCAGTTATCGCATCTTGGCTGCGCACCTCCATCTGCTCAGGTTTCCCCATGGCCGCCATCCCCAGATCTAATCCAAAGCCACTGATGCTCCCTTGCTCTCGCCGATTTATATGTATTGAAAAGCGCAAAAGTACAACGGCGGCGCCGCGGCGGCCGGCGGCGATGGTGCTGCGACCTTCGAGCAGAGGACGGGAGTCTGGTAGCGATTTTGCCGATTTCGGCGGAGAGAATCGTTGTGACCGGAGAAGTGGAAAAAAAAATGCAATTCTACGCGTATTATTGGTTAACGTGTCTAGATAAAAATATTAATATTTTAAGCGGTATAAATATGGATAATCTTTTTATTTAATGTTATAAATATTGATAATCTTTTTATTTATAGTTTAACTTATATTTAACGTGGTACTATACTAGATTGTTTTGAACGCAGGAAGTATATTTATTTTGAGAAAGTTGTAAAAAGGTTATCTATAACTTTAGAATTTATAGTAACATCTGTATTCCTTTTAAGCCTGCAACTTGTTTTCTTTTTACTCACTCTCTGTCTATAATATAGTGTATTCTGGGAATTTTTAAATAAATTAAAAGAGAACATAAAAGACGCATGTATCCTTAATTTATTTCCTAAGCAGATGATATCATCAACGGAATTAATGGTTATTGGTTGACAAATGAAAAATATTAATGTAAAATTGGTTTTTATCCTTTAGAATGCATTATATTGAGATAATTTTTGAATGCCAGGATGCATTGTATTATAGGACAGATGGAGTGCCTTATAGGTGCTGCACTACATAGGCAGTGTCAAATCTAGCCCTTTAAAAACTAATATTTTATTAAAAATAATTCATCACTAACTAGATTTGCAAGAAGTCAACCTTTGAGTTATTTCACACGACACGACACGGTTGAACACCCAAGTCACGCGACTCCTGCAATAATGGTGGCTCCGCCTGCGATGCACTACCAACATGGAGATAACATGGAGCCAGTCACGCTGAATGGAATGGTGTGATAGCCACCTGATTCACGCCAAGCACTTTGGGGTGACTTGTCTGGTTAAAACTGTCGCGTGGCCACCCTAAAAGCCCTAGTTTGTTTTTGTTTAATTGATGAAACCTAGAACTAACCTTTGATCTAAGTGTGTGAATTAGATAAGGTGATCTAACCCAAGTGGTGAAGCTAGGTGATGGCCTTGGTGAAGGTGATGGCCACAAAAGAGATGATCAAGTGCTTCACATTTGGAAAAGAAGAAAGAGAAAAACAAAAATGAGCTCAAGGCAAAGGTATAATGATAGGAGCTATTTTTTGTTTGCACTCAAGACACCATAGAGGGTGTGAGTGATTTAGGATTGATGGTCGTACTATAAAGAGGAGAAATCTTTGGCTAAGCGTTTATCGAGTGCCACTAGGTGACATAATTCATGCAGTGCATTTAGGGACCTAGTGTGCTAACTTCTAACCCTTGTAAAATGCTTTGAAAAATGCTAACACACGTGCATACAAGTTATACACTTTGTGGTTAGCAAGTTAGAGTAAGGGCGAAGTGGTTGTTGACTTAGAAAAAGAAAAGGAGCTGAAAGTCCTCGATCGGACACTGGCCGCGAGGTGAACGGACTCACCCCGGGCGCATCCGGTCAGATAGTGCAGAGAAGGAGGTGCTTGGTGGTCGATCGAACGCTGGCGCGCCTGAATGCGCAGGGAACACTATTCCCACGTCCGGTCAGTACTCAGTGGCACACGCGCGGTTTAGCTGGAGTGATCGGACTCACCGGCGCGTCTGGTCACCTAAGACCTGACGCGTCTAGTCATCATTTTTGCACTCTGTGGAACCTTACTGGAACGGATCGGACGTCACGGTGTGGTGAGTCCGGTCACTTGTGTAGTGAGTCTGGTCATGACTTAACGTGTCACGCGACAGTGACTTGACCGTTGGAGATGAACGGGCATGGTTTGAACGAGGACACATGGGCGCCCGAGGGCCGGACGCTGGGGTGCATCCGGTCAGTGCGTCCGGTTAGCCCACGAGCAGAGCAACGACTCTATTTCCAGGGGGTATCTATAAATAGTGTTTGGCTGGCTTGGGCTCACTCTCTTGGCACTTTAACATACTTGACATCCTTGTGAGCCTAAGCAAACACCTCCCACTCATCTCCATCATTGATTCATCATCATAGTGAGATCGAGAGTGATTCCAAGTGCATTTGCTTGAGTGATTGTATTTAGTGGCACTTGAGTATCGTTGTGGCTGCGGATTTCTTGTTTCTCTTAGTGGTTGCCGCCACCTAGATGGCTTGGAGCAGCGGAGGAGCTTCGGCACATGTTGGTGATTGTTCATGGCCGGCTTTGGTGATTGTGAGGGGTGTTGCACCTTTCTCGGTGAAGAGCCGCAAGGTAGCTCTAGCAAATTGCTCGTTTCATTGAGTTACCTCACTTGTGGGTAGGTTCTTGTGGCGCCTCTTATGGTGGGCTAGGTGTGTGATACCTATTAGCCACTGAACCACCAAGTGTTGGTCGACACAACGGGGACTAGTGTGCCAGCAAGCACATGAACCCCAGGAGAAAATTAGTGTGTGACTTATCTCTTGGACTTCTCCCGGTGATTGATTGGTATTCATCTTGTGATTAGTTCATCCCTCGACGCGGCGGTATAATCACCCTACTCTTTTCTTTACTTTCTCGCAAACTAGTTGTCAAGCTCTTTAGTATAGTTAGTCTTTGAGAGCTTGTTAGTTTGGTTAGTATGGCTCTTTAGTTAGCCCATGAGAGCATACTAGCTTAGTGAGTAGTGACTTAGCTATTGTGTATGCTAGTGATCATAGCAACTAGAATTATTGGGTGAGGTGGCATACAACCCTTGTAGAGCTAGAGCAAAATTGCATTGCGCCTTTTGTCATACTAATCAATTTGGTTTAGTGCATTTATAGAATTTTAAATAGGCTATTCACCCTATTCTAGCCATATTAGGACCTTTCAAGTGGTATCAGAGCTGTGGTCACCTTTTAATTGAAGGCTTAACAATCTCGGTGTCAAATTATGGCTCAAGTTGTGTTCAATCATGTGGGGGGCAAACCACCGTTCTTTGATGGTACAAGCTATGATTATTGGAAGAGAAAGATGAAGATGTATCTTGGTTCAATCAATGATTAAGTGTGGGATGTGGCTGAGAATGATTATGCTATTATTGATCCCAACAATCTCACCAACCAAGAAAAGGCAAATAAGCAATGCAATACAATGGCTCTCAACACCATCTACAATGCCATTGATTCAAAGGTGTTTGAGCAAATCAAGGATCTTGATAGAGTTAGTAAGGTGCGAAAGAGATTGGAGGAGACTATGAGGGCACACTGGCGGTGAAGGGTGCCAAGCTATACATCCTCAAAGATAAGTTGACAAGCTTCAAGATGAAGGATGATGAGAGCATTCCAGAGATGTTCCATTGTTTGCAAGTAATTGTCAATGACTTGAAGGTTTTGGGTGAGAAGATCAATAATGATGATGTGTCTCATCAGTTCTTGATGTGCTTACATCCAAGATTTGAGATGTTGAGAATGCTTATCATAAGAGGAGGATTGAAGCAACTAACCCCTAACCAAGTACTAGGTGATGTCATGACACAAGAGACATACTGTGTGAAAAGGGAATGGGTTGATCAAGATGAGAAGAAGGATGAAGACAAGAAGAAGAAGAGTGTAGCATTCAAGGCTAGCTCATCATCCAAGAATAAGGACAAGTCTAAGAAAGAAAAATCAAGTGGTGATGAAGATGCTAGTGACATTGATGATGAAGCCATAACCCTCTTTGTGTGCAAGTTTGGAAGATTCATGAAGAAGAAGAGCTATGGTGCAAGAAAGAGGAGAGACAACAACAAGAGCAAAGAATATGTGAGAAGATGCTACAAATGCAAGAGCCCAGATCATGTTGTATCGGATTGTCCCTACAATAGTGACAATGATGAGGATGAGAAGAAAAAAGCGAAGAAGAAGAAGAAGAAGGAGAAGGAGAAAAGATGACCTTCCAAAGAAGAAGGGGTAGTGGCTATGTGGTGACATGGGATAGTGATGCTTCTTCAAAGGATGATGACTCAAGTGATGATGACAAGAAATCCAATAAGAAAGCACTTGCAAGCATAGCCATCAATAACAAGCCTTTCATCTTTGATACTTCATCAACTTGCCTTATGGCAAAGCCCACCAAGGTAAAATATGATGAAAGTGATGAAGATGCTTGTGAAAGTGATGATTGTAGGAGTGATGACGACGACGACGATGATGATGACTCTAAGGAGGCTCTTATGGACATGTTGGAGAATACCCACACATGTCTTGAGATGAAGAGAAAGAAGTGCAAAGAATTGCGGAAAGAGCTTAAAGCTCTCAAGCAATTCTTTGATAAGCTCAATGCTTCTCATGAGAGTCTAAGGGAAGACCATGAGGAGCTTGGCAATGCTCACACTAAGCTTGAAAGAACTCACTCCTCTCTCCTCGAGCAAGTTAAGAAGGAGGAAGCCAATAAAGAGCAAGTGATTGTGTCTTGTGATGTGGGACTAACATGTGATATTATTGATGAATGTTTTATATAAATCTATTGTTGTTGCTCCCACTAACCCTTCTTGTAGCACTACCACTTCTATTTCACCTTTGAGTGATGGTTTCACTTGTGATGCCTCACTAATGGTGGAAAATAAGACCCTTAAGAAGGAAGTGAATGATCTCACTCGTGCCTTAGGCAATGCCTATAGTGGAGATGCCTGCTTGCTAAACTGATTGGGTAGCCAAAGGGTTTCTCTCAACAAAGAGGGATTAGATTATACCCCCAAGAAAGGCAAGGTAGCCTTTATCACTCCCAAAGCTAGCTTTGTGAAGGGCAATGGTCAATTTTGTAATAGACGCAAGCAAGTTGGGCATATAGAGCAATATTGCAAGACTAACAAGAACAAGTAACCTAATATATCCTCAATTAGATTTAATTCTTGTTACATGCTTGTTAAGGGTACCAATGGTGTGAAGGCTAAGTTCATTAGTACACCAATTGTGGGCCTAAAGAA